CGCGACACGCCTGTAAATATCATATATATGTACGATGTATCAGACTACACGGCGGGGAGATAGCGTTCGATATCACGTTCTGTAGCTCCGAATTTCGTTGTCGGCGCGATATAGAAACAGTATATTCCCTAATCGCGACAGATACAAAGACGCATGTACCGGTTAGAAGTGATTAATTAATTTAATCACGCCAAAGCGCCGCGAAACGTTGATCAAAGAGAATTATGCAAAATATAGCCAAGATAGTGTGTCGCACGCGTAACCCGCTTTAGCGCTTGCGTACTCGCCTAACACCGTGTACACACAAGGAAAGTAAATTACGCGCGTAACGTTAGATCATTTTGTATCACATTTGTCGCACCTCAAGACACGCGAATTTCACACTACGACATTTTGTGTATCCTCTCGTAAAAGCTGTATCCCGAAACGCTAAAGTATAATCATCCGTCGATAACGAATGTTTCATCCTTCAATCATCGGAGTCTCGAAATTAGAGTATTGGAGTATCCAAAGTCATAGGTGAACGAGATCGGATAGGACGGGCGATGTGTGGTGTGTGATGGGTATCGGGTGGATCATCTTTATCTCGGCCGATTGCATTGTTAGCATGAAGCGTATTGTTTGAACGTCATATTGGCGCGAGGCCTCGGGCAACCAATCAGCGTTTGCGGTATCCGTGCCTTATCAAAGATTTCCGTCACCTAGCCGCAGGGCTTAAATCAACCTATCCTCCGACCTATCCTTTCTCCAGTTTGCAGAAACTCTGCCGCGAGGAGGGTGGCGAACTAGCACTAGCAATAAGAGATCAACCCTAATTGCTAGACTTTGGACAAGAACTCGTAATGAGCGCGCGTGATATCGCTATTCACGATCCTCGAATACGTCGAATGATCAATTTTTGTCACGTTCGGCGAAACTAGAAAAAAAAGAAAAAAAACTTTATAGAAATAGCGATTCGCGATAACATATACATAATTATTGTCGCGTTCAAAGACTGTGCGAACTCACGACAATTTATGACAATTTAATTATCAGCACGCGATACATACACGTGTGACATTAATTAATATTCATCGATAATGGAATATTAGACAACACGTCTGTCGCAATATAACCGTGTGTTGCTCATCAAGCAATAATAAGCAACGGTAATTACTCGTTAATTGGATGACACCACGTTTTAATAACCATCTCGCAATATGGAAACGCGCGCGACAAGTTGATGACAGGTCAGTGCGCGAAAATCCTTGGAGCATTCATAAACGGCGACTGCGTGCGGAAATGTTATATTCTGACCATATTGTTAGAAAAATAATAAGTACGAATAACTCAGGCAAGATAAACCTACACGATGTGTATCACAGGACTTTCACATATATCGCCCGTATATATCTGCATAGTTGGATTTGTACATCCACTTTACGATCTCGGAAGTGACTCGGCGACTTTAACGTAAATCTCGCTCGCATAAGGTCGTCTTTAACGTCATATCCGGGCGGTCTCCTCGTCAACGAAACGTTCGGTAAATTGATGACGTAATTACGGGTCTCTGCTCGCTCGCGAGCTTACCTGTCTTATGGAGTAGCTCGTAACGGCCGATCGTGGAGCCCATATCGTTCTACCAACGAAAATACGTAGGAACACGTACGTAACGAGTCGTGCTAGCGACGTGCTGCTACAACTGTCGAACATATCCGCCGGTGTACGTGTAACTATCCTCCGAACGACGCGCAGCATGTGCGTGTGCGTGTGTGTATAGGTATGTTTGTGCGTATGCGTCTGTATACGCGCACACAGGGTGGTCGACAAGTACCGAAGGGGGATGAAAGTATATAGCGAAGATGAGTGCGAGTTTTGGTCCGTGATGCGCGTCTCGTTAATTTTTCGCCCCGTGTCGTCGCATTGTTTGCTTGAGAGAGGGGTGGTGTTTATTGCTCGCAGCTCGAGAGACAAGAACTATTCGTGTTGCCTGTATACGTTATTACGCGAATGTACAAGGGAGCGAGCACGACTCTGTGTTACTACTGGTTGCTGCAGTGCCACGTTTTAATGATCCCGATTTAACAAGCGTGTGTAAGCCGCGTGCGAATCTCACAATAAGAAAAGAACGTACGGAACGATTCCGAAAACGAAACCGGATTAATTAATGAATCAAAAAGGTAGCACAGATTAATGTTGAATATACATAAAATAAGATAGCATACAGATAAGGATAATATTGATCAAAATTAAATTAATTTGTTGTAAAAACTAACAACATTTTTCCCTCGTAAAAAAATATAAAATAATATTTTTACGTTATGAATAATTTCTTATTTATAAATATGCCTTTCTTCTTTTTTTTTTTTATGATATTTAAACATCGTTCTATTAGAGATGGTATCGTGCTACATTCAATCGATATCGAAATTGGTAGCGAGTAGCGAAACCTTCTTTCTCAGTAGGTCGGATATTGAAACGGGTCGGGCTCTACATTTCTGTATTTTCGCTCTCGTCCAAACGGCAGAGTCGTACGGTAGCGGATCAACGAGCAATCATACTTGAATAGGCGCCACGCACACGAGAGTGGCATGCGTGTACAAGCGTGGCCGTATACGTTCGTTGATTCGAAATCATTGTGCCGTACCTTGTCGACAATCGAACCTCGACGAACCTCGAATTTTGTATGCCACCGCACGAATTTCCCCTCGAAACGGATGATTCGCGTGGGTGAATCGGACAGAAGGTCGATCCGTTTCTTCTCACGAAACAAAAATATCATTCCACGTCGACCCGATAAACAAGACCGCCGTCATACCAGTGCAACAACAATCAACAGAGAGACAGGTTCTAAGGCTTTCGCGCGAATCGGTCAATTTAACTTGCGAATTTCATGCACCCGCGACAAATTTTTTTTATACTTATTATTTACATCAAAACGCGCGGTCGGTATTATTATACCGCTGAAATGTAAAACTTACGTGACACGATCACAATATCTGCGAATAATTTTCTATAAAGAGAAGCACACGCGATAAGGCGCCAAGAATATTAAATATGTCTGATCTAGAAATACGTTTCTGGGTAGAACCGTTCTACTTGTATAATCTGGATACAGAAAGAAAATTGGATTAAACAAGGTTACCAGTATTTATATGTCTATGTTGACAGTGTCATAAATAAACGAAGCTGAAGCTGGCAGCCGAATTTACAATTAGCAGCCAAAACACGGCAGCCAGAACGAATAGAGTTCCTGGGGTCCCAAAGATTAATAAATTGCATTAAAAAAATCATTCCAAGCAAGTGACATATTTCAGGTGACACAAAGTAGGTTAAAAATATAAAATTTATAATAATTTGAAAGCTGATGGTTTTTATTAATAATAACAAAATTAAATATAATAACAATCATATATTAACTATTCAGTAGCCAGACTGTATGACGGCCCTTATTTTTTATTTAAAAACTTAATTATCATTTTAAGTAACAATAACAATAATGACCGTAAAATTGTTAATCATTTTTCAAATAAACAATAAGGACCGTCCTCGGGCAGATCGTCGTGTCTTCGTCTTGCACTCGTCCTGGAGAACGTTTGTGATTTTTTTCAAGTCGCTACGACTCTTTGCGTAATACAGTCTAGCTGCTAAATAGTTAATATAGAATTATTTAATTTTATTATTATTAATAAAAGCCATCCGCTTTCAGACATTTATTAACCTATTTTGCGTCACCTGAAATATGTTATTGCTTGCAACGATTTTTTAAATAAAATTTATTAATTTTGAATCTGTGAGGCCCCCCAGAACTCTATTTGTTCCTGGCTGCCGTGTTTTGGCTTCGTCATAAACGATTCTAAATTTATATGAGCTGCATCTCAATCGTACCTTCAATATTTTTGATGTAATATTAGAATAGAAGTTGCATCTCGGAAAAATAGAGACACACTTAACTGTTTATATGTATACCAATTCCTACAATTCATCTGATACAAATTTTTCATATTATTTTTTTTTTCACGATAATATTTATTGAATATTCTTAAAAGCTAGTGTGCCATGCATTCAAAAATACCACAGATATACATATTTCATTTAGACACTACTCGTAATACAAACAACGCGTTACACGAATCCATCAAACGCGCCATCGCCATAATTCAACCGTATATATTTCGACCATATCTGTGAGTTATTTCGTGTTCCGTGCGGCTCGTAATAAAAAAAAATACAAAGGGGCGCAAAACCAAAAGCAAACGGATAAATTGTAACGACTATAAAACTGGTCATTTTGTATATTTTAAAGCACGGCGAACATAAATACGTTTGTCCTTCGTATTCTGGATATTGTTGGGCGAACAATAAAACTATATATGTGCTTTATATTATACGTTATTAATTTAAATACTGTTATCCTCGAATAATTCTTTAAATATAGTCACGTTATTTTTAACGTTGAAAATTTGTTGAACGATTTTTCTGTAAAATGTTTCTCATCAAAGTGTAACAACGGAAGATTATGAAGTACTATTTATTTTCATTTTTCGATAGATTTGATCCACTCGCGCGGAAATTAACAAAACTTTTCGAAAACATTAATTTGTCCTGTATGGCGAATTCAACTCTCGATTGCATCCATCGAAATAAGCAATGTGCAAAATTAAATAAATACAAAAGATTACAGAATTCGATAAATGACGAATTAAATATACATTTGTATCTATTTTCCGCTACACTCGATAATTACAATGGTGAAATGTAATCGAGATATGATTGGGTAACGATGACTAACAAAATTTTCACTCAAAAGATGTCAAAAGAGCCAAAACTACACATTCGTAAGCTATACTTATTTCAACAAATATCTCAATTTGAGAGTACACGTATTTTGCAACGCATAATGATACATTACTCACGCAGAGTAATTTTTTCTTCCAATACGAACATTAATTGTTTATAAATGTTTTTTGTGATTGATTGTCCACCTCCATTATCCGTGTACTTGAGATAGAAAGACTCACCGTTATTAATCGCAGCCAAAGCGACGGCGCCAAGCAACCATGCGACAACACTGACGGTGGACATCTTCGTTTCCCTCTCGCGTCGCGGTTTCCTCCTCACATAATACGCGCCTTCCGTGCGTTAGAACAAGCTGAAACAAGGAAGACGCATTACGTTAAACCGCGCGTGTGCGCGATGTCACAAGATATTACAAGTTCGGTCGCGCGTTTATCTTACAAAGGCGACGCTTTCGTAAACGCTCGGCTAAGTGCTGCACGCCAACGCCGGCGTTGCCAGAGCACTGCCTGGTGAGGAAAGCCGAGGAAACGATTGTGTTAGCGTCGCAATTTGTTACGCGTAATCCCGTGCACTCCCGTTATCATGCATCCTGTTACCGACAGCAGCAGGTGCTGCGCGCAACGATAATTACTCGATCAAGTGCGCGTCTATGAAAATATTATGACAATAAATAATCACACAATAAACTGCAACCTCCGCTTTTCATTTTCCTTCGTGTGAGTACATTACAGCAACCAGATAAGATTCTTTGAATCATACAGGTCTTTATTTTGCTCATTATCTGATATTTAAGATGCATAACTTGAAAATAATTCCATATTTTTTCCTATAGAAACATCTTTGAGATGTATTTCTTGAAATATATTCTGTTTCTAGATAACGAGAGAATTTGTTTAAGAATTTGAATAAAATATTATTTTTTTCTGAATTCTCTTCATCCACCGTTACGTGATAAATAAAATATATCAAGGAATAAAAACAAATATTCATTTATTATTTGCTACATTACTCTGACTAGAATTATTGACTTTTCTCTTATATGTCATTATCTTTTGTTGTTGTGAATCTTTTACGCAAAAAAAATCTTATATAATTATTTATACCACTAACAATATTATCACTCTAATATGATCTTATTTTATGTTTATGTTATTCCTTATTCCTAACAAGTTATATTCGTACAACCAAAGAGCGAACATAGTTCTGTAATAGAGTTATAATTAATAATAGTATATTACATAACTAATAAAAGGGAGATCAAACCGAATTTTTTGACAACGTAGAATCAATCTTCTTCGAGTGAAATTCAAACTGCTGTCTTATAATTTTCTCTAAAATAAGTATACATTTAATTGCAACAGCAATTTAGATTTATTTATATAGTTTTTCTCGTTTCTCTTCAAACGTAAGTTTGTTATTCATTTTTTTTTATTGAATATTTCGCCGAAGAAAAATTTACATTATCTATATATAAATTCAGAATAAAGTATCATTTTTACATTTATGGAAAATTCACTTTAAATAGCTTTGAAATAGAAGAAAAAAGTACGCTGGGGAAACCTTTGAAAACACCCTGTATAGTCGCGTACAATCTACTAGAAATTTTATTCGAGAATTTCCTGGAGCACGCGGATGATTTTCTCGAGCGTCCGCGCTCTCTGCTCCGCGAGATGGTCCCGGGAAGCTGCTCATTCGTCACGTCGAGATAGCGTCGGTCCTCGGACGGATCCGCGGAAGGCGCGACGTCCTCCTATCCTTATAACTGGGTATAACCGTTAGCGAAATAGCTCGTCGTGCCTCCCTCGAGTCGCTTTCAACCATGACATACTCCATTTATACAAATCACGCGCTATATCTTCATGTCAAAACGTAATCGTTCCGCTTTCTTCCTCTCCTGTTTATTTTCGTAAATATATTTCGTGTAATCTACTGAAAATGTTACGACCTGAAACTCGAGCTAGCTTCATCAGGGAAGCTTGTTATTTACGGTACAACTAAATTAAAGTATCAGAAAATTTGCAGATGTACCATTTAATTAATTTAAAGTAAATTGTTCTTCACGGAAAAACTAAATTGTCGAATATTTCCTTATTTTATCTGGATTTTTTCTTCGTATAATTAAACATTTTGGATGTTCGTAGAGTGTAAAGATTGAATTTAAGTTACACCACTTATAATTTTCGGAACAAGCAAAATAATGGGAGTAATGCGACGAAAATTTCATGTTAAAAGAGGCTCTCTGTATCTTTTATCTACCGCTTGAACGGATACAATCCTAGAACGCCAAATAAATGATTCTCCTTTCTTCCATTTTCTTCCTTTTAATACTAAAGGAGAGAGAGAGAGAGCAGTGAAAGCGAAATAGGCAACGCTTGCTCTATCCATACCGACCGCTGCTCTCGCAGCATCCACATGGACCAGGCAACCCTTCAGACGCACGTTTCCCGCTGGTTCTCGGCTCCTTTCATCTCAGTCCGCTTTTACTTTATGCACCGGTTGTGCGCACGCGGACTTTATATCGTCATACACTGTGTGCTTCGAAAACCTGAAATTCCGCTTTGCTATACGGTTTCGTAAGATGCCACAAGCCATACGTTTCGCACAGAATTTCGACGTAACTCCGCGCCGCGTGCATAACTAATATATGAATAATACAAAATGAATTTTTCGCAGTGGCTCCAGTTCGTAATAAAGTTACGATCCCACGTCGCATATATTTTATTTTCGCAATCCTACGAGACGAGGTGGCATATTACAATATATTCTTTATGTATTGAGAAGATAAAAACGTATACATGTGTAATATATTAGAAGGGTTGTCATAAAATGTGCGTTAATCAATATAATGTATTTTAAAAAGTTATTATCCGACTCTTTGCTGTGCGTTTTCCTTCTCTCATAATGTATTCCACTCATAGTGTATTAAAAATATTCTCGTTATTCAGTGTGCAAGATTTTCATGATAATACAGAAACAGAAAATAAACGATATTGAAAAGCACAGTCTGCTGTACGTTTCAACAAATTTCAGCAAAGAAACGTGGAATTATCAACATTCTTGATTAAGTTACGATCATAGAAACAACAACGGGGAAGGGCAACTGTTGCTCCATTTGAGGGCAAAACGCGAGCGCGCGCAACACTCATAAAATATGAAATTGCATCCGGTACATTTTTCAAGATAAAAGACTGAACGCACTTTCGCGAATGTATGCGATGCACCTGTACGACCAACCGTAGCAAACCGGAACACTGTGGAGCTCTCGTTTATGCACAGTCATACGATAAGATCTTTTTATTTATATCATCTGCAACGTCCACGCTGCAGAAACGAAACCTACTTGCTGAGCTCGAGATAAAGATAATGGGCGTTTTAAAGAAAATTTCCAGCGTACAAGAAAATTCACAAGAAAGACGAGGATGAGAACATTAATTACAACGTGAGAAACTATATCGTGCACGTTTTCAGAATGAAGTAAAATTATTTTAGAGGGAAATAAAAAATCATTGACGCGCGCGGTGAAAGAAATAAAAAAAAATTAAAAAAAGGCAGAGAGCATCATCCTCGTGCAAAACACAATTTTTCGCATCAGTAATAAATGATATCTCAGCGTACTTTTTAATGAACAATTAATTGTAAAGTGTATAAATATATATTATTTGAATCACTGAGTGGAATAGCGATACACATAATGTTATTGAAGATAAATATTCTTTTGATGTATATTATCTTTCGTGCGAAAGATAATTAATTTTAAATTCCAGCCAACTGATCGTTTCCAACGAGGTAATCTCTCGAAAACGTAAGCCAGCCGCGCATATACGATACACAACGACGCGATGGCATCGAACAACAGAGGATTATTACGTATATTAGGTACGCGTAATAATTTTGCGAATTTCATCGCGATAGAAATCTCATATCTCCGTCTAATTTCAAACAAAAAATTAGATTCCCCCCCCCCCCCCCCCCCCCAACAACCCTACGTTCAACGGATCAAAAAAAGGCGCGCGATAAACGACGGTTGCGATACTCGCAGGTGGTGCGAGTAACGCATCGGTAACGAAGCGTTATTTTTCAAGCGCTTTTCGGAGCGTGACAGCTCGTATCTCGTCGGGACGAGATCCGGCTTCGCGTTCGCTTTCGTATGTGGGACCCATCCGACAGGCCCTTTAACGTTTATTTACACAGCTCAAACACATTTTTCACTCTGGCCTGTGGTATGCGGACGCGCGGGAAACATTATTGGCCACACGTAACCGGCACCCACCACCATTAACATCATCCCCGCGCTATGAGCAATAACGACGCGGTGGCGGAATCACTTTGGCTTGCACGAGATGTTGATCGATCATTCGTGAACAGCGCGGCGAGATCGCGGGATATACGCGAAAGCTCAGGATACCGATCTCGTGACACACTGACGAGCAACCGGTTATAATTCCGTGTAAATGCGTGTAAGTGCTGTTAATAAGACCTGAAGGGAAGCACGGTCGAGAATATATATCGTAAATGTATGATTGAATAACATAACGTTCACTCACGAGTGTATACGAATGTATATTAGGCGGAAGCGTATTTTGCTGGGATTATCTGATGTCCGTTGATGGGCTGGATATAGAGTGTGTAAAGACCAAGACGACGCGGAGTAAAATATATGCGATCGTATAACGGGAAGATCCGGCCGCAGAGAAGAACAGTCGTTTCGCGAAAATCGCGCGAAAATAGAAATGCTCGTTACGTGCGTTTCAATTCGAATCATTCCCTAGTAATGTCCGCGGTGTAATTTCGGCGGGACTCGCCGCTGAAACGAAATGGCTGGGTGTTTATTCATGCAAAGCCAACATACTCCCCGAAACAACTCACCACTCCGCGCTACGTAAATGAGGTACTCGGATACGCCCGGGTACCTCATTGCTCGCTATCTTACGAGCGTCTGCGGATGCTTATAAAATGGAGATAATTAACGCAGCGACTAGAGATAACGGGCGCACCAATTTGCGGTTATCTCTGCCCTTTTGTCTTAGGTGCCGCTCCGCACCTTTCCAGGCGCAGCAAAAACGCGTTAAGATAACGCTACCGCGATACGAAGATTCACGCAACTTCTCACGTAACTTCACAAAACGCAAAACGCCACTCCCCCCCCCCCCCCCCTACCCCAAACACTCAACAATGTAAACTCGTGCGGTGTAATATACCATATATTGCCCCAGAAATTGTTAACCACAAAAACTCGGACTATTTTCCAAGAATGATCGAAACGTACACGAAACACTTTTTTGAAATTCGATACATTTTTATGTTTAACAACATTCGCGCAAGGAATACAATATTTTCACGATTATTGTTAATCGCACCGTAATTCGTATAAATATTTCACATTTATTTCGAATTACATTTTTACGATTCAAACTCAATCTATATACGTTTGGACGGGAAATAATTTTGCATTTTTTTGTAAGAGACATCACGCGTTTACAATTCTATATTGACATATACGTATATTTTGTGTGTACATTACGGAATGGTACTTCATTTCACGCGAATAAATCGAAATTACTTACTTGAAGTTAATAGAATTATGACCGCGCGTTCGATCGATGTAATTAACTGCAACCAATATTTGATGAGTCTAAGGTACATACTCCGCGCGAGCTGACAACTAAATATCACATTGCAGCTTTTGACGTTACAATGCCACGAAAAACAAAGGAAAGTTCGACAATATATCCGAGTACCGTGTAGTAAAATATTTAATAGAGCAATTGATGCATTATTGCGTTATTGTAATTTGCAACTAATTAAATGCACTAAACAAATAGCAGAACGCGAGATAATGTAGAGTATTAATACAATAATTACAGTACATAAATATTACATTAGGCTCAACTATGTTATGTGAAATTAGTTTAAAAAGCCGGGGCAGCATGAATAAAATATATCGGAATTTGCCTACACTTATATTTTTATTCAACTTGACAACGTTTAAGACAAAAGTCATCACGCACGTCATCCACACTTTGACGAAAGGAAACTCGTAGTATGCGAATATTATTTATGTACCAAAGAATTCACCCTTTACGAAAATCACGAGTTATTATTTCGCGCTTACCTATCGCCAATCACCAAGAATCGTTTCTACTTCGACATCGTTGGCAGAAGCGCGTCAAAAAGTATAGGGCGCCTCCCCCTACTTTCTACTTTCTCTACCCGTCTCTAGCTTCCAAATGATGATCTTTAACTCCTATCGCGATCTCGCACAACTCTGTCACTCGCGGCGGTGCATTTGGAAAAATGAGAGTGTGCCGTCGTTAAAGTCGTCACGATCACTAACCGAGCCAGCCGCAACGCGACCAGAGAGGAAGCTCGTTCATGACGACGGGCGCTCGACGAGGAAGCCTCCTGATGCGTCGCACAAAACTGTCGCACACAAATGTTACGAGCACAACATATATACGACCTACAGCGGCGACTACTCCTGCCCTTTTTATCTATACAGTCGCTCTGTAGCTGCCGCGTTCTTGTTCCCGACGCAGCTAATTAATCCCGAACACGAGACGCGCACGATAATGGGAATCCCATGGGCGAGTTTTAATTAAAACTCAGGCGCCCCCTTAGCCCGTCGCTCGCAGTGCCCGCATAGCGGCACTTGACCTTCCTCGCGGCAGGCTTAATTGAATCCTCGGTGGCGAGACGCGACGGTTACGCGTATACGTACGTGCGTAGATTAAGCGCGCTCGCATGATCGCTAGCTGTTATCGCGGACGTACGTAACATAGATACTCCGTTCATCCGCCAGTAATGTCCCCAGTTCGTATCACGACGCGTGAATCGTGTCTGTCAGCTGATCCGCCAAAGCCCTCTCTGTCAGCCGGCCTGACCACCGCGAGCCGCTACCACTGAATCCCCGTGGCGGTGCAGTCTGCCGCGCGACTACTTAGCCGCTTCCTTCGCGTTACGAACCGTCTACTCGCCGCGTGCGACAACTGTCTATACTACTGTCTCTGCGATTCTGTCTTTACTATCTCCTGGTGGGTACTGTCCCGCGCTCCTTCCTGACAATTCCAAAACGCGCTCGTCGATATCTCTCGCGCGACACTTGACCCTTGCCGCGTGACCGATCAGTCGAGTCGCCCCTCGAATATGTCACTGCTATATTCACTCTCGGGCAGCCGCCAGCGTTCTGGCGGCTGACACTCGCGCGAACTTGGCGCGAACCCTCGACCGTCGCGTTTAATCGCGCCCGCGTGCATCAATGATCATCGATGAGTAGTAATTAGCCGAGACGAGCGCGATTCACTCATAGTCGCGCGCGACTACTCCGCGTTCACTCTGGAATCCGCGCGAGATAGAGAGCGTCCGCACGCAGAGGTGCGCGCGCGTGCGTGCGTGCCGTGCCGTGCCGTGCGTATGCGTGCGTACGTACGTATGCACGTACGTACGTACGGATGTGTGTGTATATATATATATATATGTGTGTGTGTCTGTGTATATACGTGTGCGCGCGCGCGCGCGCCGGTGGAGATTCAGGTCCGACCCTCGCGCGATACGATGGAGAACTGACGTCCTGACGGGCTGCAGCGCCCCGACGACGGGCGTCCGGCGAACCATCCGCCGTGAAGCGAGCGGCACCGGGAGACCCGCCACCCATTCAACCCCTTCTCGTGCCCGCCGCCCACACGGCACGGTGTGTGCGCTCCGCTTTCGCCCGTACCACCTTGTCGTCGTCGAGAGGGCACCGTCGTACACGCCACGCGAGATCGCACGAAATTTTTGAAAATAACGCTGCTGTCGAAAACGAACTTTTCAGAGCGGTCCTGGATTTTTTTTGGGAGGGGGGGGGGAAACATTCGTTACTGATTCGGTAGACGTACCGACGGAAAAACATTCCTCGTTGATCTCACACGCGGTACCCCTGCGATGTATCCCTCGTACGTTCTATCGGTCGATGTTAAATTCTTCAAATGTATAATTGCATGAAAAAATATATAATTAAATTATATATGAAAATTATATACTAAATTATCAAAATTATTTTTAACAGATAAAATGAGCAAATTTATTTGTGCTAAATTTAATTATATTAATTGCAAGGACTTTCCATCCGCGTAAAAACATTTGAAACGATGCGACAAAAGAAATAAAGGCAAAGTACATATGAGAAATACTCGAAATATCGTCATAATTAAATTAAAAAGGTAACCCGATATGACTCTCTCGCAGGCGATCGATCGACGCTACAAATGCTCCGGTAGAAATAGGACGCACGGAATTGAATCTCTCTGATTATTTCTGTTTAGACATCCCTCAAACGATACTTCGTAAGATTTATATTTCCCTCTTAAATATAAAAAAGATTCAAAAGAATCTAAAAGCTGTGTTACGAAGCTCCGTGTTAAACCTACGCCTTTTATCCTGCTTTTTATATGTTATAAATTTTATATTAATTTATATTAAAATACGTTACATGCAGTACTGAAGTCTTAAAAGTGACGAATATAGGCAATCTAGAGGCACGAGAGGAATAGGTTCACGTAATTTCTTAATCAATATGGCCTAAATCATTCTTATGACAGAATAAGGCTCGTGTTCTAAGCTGCGTGTTTTCCAAGACTTGCATGCATTTGCGAAACGTCACGTGATTCGCAGAGGCCACGTAATAGATGGCTCTACATCACTCCAAATTGGATACAGTACGAAAGGTAAAAATCCTAACTTTTTCAATCCGCGCGGTGGCGTTATTTTGTTCCTGGATTATTGCGAAATATGTTTTATCCTAGAAAGAGAAACGTATCAACGTACGCTGATCCTCATCAACGGAACATTATCAATGAAAAATTCCTCAAATCCGTTTTTCCATATATCAATACATTTCTTATATGATAGCGATATCGTATAATATCCAGGTCACTGTAACGTGAAATAATCATTATAGAGGCTTAAATTTAGAAACAATTTAAAATATCTTATAAAAGCAAAAAATAAGAACTTGCGCATTATTTATATGTATATTATATAATACATAATTTTGCAGTTTTAATTTTACGTAGCCGAATAAAAGCAACTCGACGTTTCCTAGTCGCTTTGCAGTCTTTACGTTCTAAGCTGTATTATTAATTAAAGGAATTAACTTCGCCATATATGGCGCGACCCATGCTCGAGGAAAGGAAGGTCGAACGCTTATATCATAGTCTAATTTCCAATTAAGGCGTTATTAATACCGGCGCCAGTAAACGTTACACCTCAAGGATTATATTACAATTTACATTTCGCATGTGAAAGACGTATTATCACATTTGAATATATATTTATATTAGATTACACTTATTTATTTACGTTTATTACGTTTCATATGTTCTATCGCTCGATATTAAATTATTCAAATGTATAATTGCATAAAAATATATAATTAAATTATGTGAAAAAATTATACTAAATAATCAAAATTATTTTTGACAAATAAAATGAGCAAATTAATTTGTGTTAAATTTAATTATACACAATCTTATTCAATTAGATTACACAATCAATACAAACAAAATTAATTAGAAATTACATGTAGCAAAAAAACATACTAGAAATTAAGAAGAATGTATTTCAATATTTCAAAAACCGATAGCTTCGGTATTACAATATAATTCGGTACTCCTATATGAATTTTATAAAAAAAAATTACACTTTGGTTAATTTCAAATAATTAAAATAATTTTTTAAAAGAGTAACGATGTACCATAAAATTAACTTTTGTCAAAGAAAAAATTAATTTCGAATTTACAAACATTTAATGTTTATTAGAAAGTGCAGGTTTTTTTCCCTCTATCTCTGTATTGTATCGACAATTTTAATAGCTTAGATAATTGATGTATATTATTTAATAAGTATCGTATTAATAAATTTCTACATATTAAATTTCCACCATGACCGGAATATTACTCAGATGTTTCGGTAAATATTATATACCCAATGTTCGTAACATATTATAGAATTGCATGAAAAGCGTACCTATATAATTGCGTGAAAAAGTAAGCATGCAGTGTACCCATGAGAAAACGAACCTCAATTAAAATTTAGTTTACATCTTTCGAATGAGACCTGCTCGGAGGAAATAAAAATTATTTAATTGAAATAATATGTTCTTTCCATATATGTTTTTAAACACGAAAATAATGACTCGTCTAAGAACACTGAATACTTTTAATGATCTGACACCATAGAAACAGTAATAATACAATCAGTGGTTATCAAATATCGCTTTAAAAAATTGTGGAAATATAAAAAACGTTAATATGTCTTGATTAAATTACTTATAACTTTAATATTGAAATTAGAGGTTATGTGAAACGTATTATAAATTATAATATGTCTTGATTAAATTACTTATAACTTTAATATTGAAATTAGAGGTTATGTGAAACGTATTGTAAATTACTATATGTTATTTTCACCTATTTTTTCTGACTTCTGCGGCGTATTTGCTGACGCGGCGTATATACCGGGTTTACCCTATATGTTATTTTCACTGATTTACATCATGGATGAAGCGCATATAGATAGGGATGTTTCGCACCGCAACCTTCAGGAGCGTAGAAAGGTGCGAGGGACAGAAGCAGGTAGGTGGGGTCGTTTCATACAGCAGCGCCTCGCTTAATTACTAGTTACTAGTAACAAGAGTTAGAAGCGTTTAGCTCACAGTTCACGCCATCCAACAAAAGCTTATAATGTTACGAACTATTCCCATTGCTACCCTAGATTCAACAACGAGGCTTCACCCGGTGCCCGGATTCGTATTACTTCGGAATCATATCAAATACGGAAACGAGTCTGCGAGTTCGCGAACTGCAGTTGGCTCGGTTTACAATATAATTAATCTCGTGACTGGGGCCGATATGAGTTTAGCGAGCTAAATATAATACCGCGGTGTCTGTAACATATTATCCGCATAATGTGAGAAAAGTTTATATATTTTATAACGTAAAATGTGACATTAACGAAACTTTAAACTCGAACGATTCAATTTCGCCTTGAACTTGGTTGAACTTGTACAAAATTAAGACGACACGCGCGAATTCAATTAAGCTAGAAATGATGAATTTCTCAAACATTTGTTTTTCCAAACAATGCAACTGATTAATGCAATTTATTGCATACTGCTGCACAACTTTATTCACTAGTGTGTGGCCATTTTCAGGTTGTGACCATAAATCTCGCATTTCTTGAATCACCAACGGAAAATTCATGGACAATAAATCGGAGTTTCGACAACATGATTCAACGATACCGAAAACGAACGCCCGAGCGCAAATCGCAACTACATTGTTAAAAATCCTTCGTTCGTAGTATTCGCGAGATCGATTTACCAAACACCATTTGAGAGAATTTTGCAGCTTTGACATTTGCCCGGCGAGTGAAACTAATCAAACATTCTATCCGATACACAGCACCAGCAGTCACACTATATCCATAACCATTTTGTTCGATTCAAATCGTCTCGACTAAATACAAAACTGACTGTGCGATTACTTTCAAAGGAAGACGTCACAAAAGATATGGGTCCGTGTTCAAAATATGCTTTTATCGATAAATGCCGCGCGTTGTTATTCTAAAATTCTACATATATGTACGTAACGTGAACTACATATCGTTACAAGTATGAGCGTTCTGAGTATGAGAACACAAACA